TACAAAGTAAGTCTTAATAGACACAAGGAAATTCAAATAGCACTCTGCAGCCTATATGACACGTTGGATTAAAGCTGCATATAAAACAGAAACAACAGAGTTTGTTAACTCATGGAAACAACTCACTACTGTCAATGAAAATTTATAACTTTCTAGAATTGAATGGAAACAAAAATACAACATACCCAAACTTCTGGGACACAATGAAGAGAGTTCTAAGAGGAAAATCACCCTAAGTGCCTATGAGAGAGAGAGAGAACTCTCATTAATAACATCATACCTGCAAGTTCTATACCAACAAGAAGAAGTTACATGCAAAAGGAGTATACAGAAAGAAATATTCACACTCTGGGCTCAAATCAATAAAGTAGAAACAAACAAAAACAACAATAAAAATTTTTAAAAATCAATGAGAGAAGGAGTTAGTTCTTTGAGACTATCCATAAGACTGACAAGCCCTTATCCAAATTAACTAAAAGGCAGAGACAGAAGATCCAAATTAACAAAATTAGAAATGAAAAGGGGGACATAAAAATAGACACTGAGGAAATCCAGAGAAATATAATGACAAACTTTATAAACCTGTACTCCACCAAACTGGAAAATCTAAAACAAATGGATAATTTTCTCAATACATGGCACTTAAAAATGCTAAATAAATAAAAAATGCTAAATAAATAATAAATAAATTAACCCCTGGTGAAATAGAATCAGTCATTATAAGTTGCCCAACCGGAAAAGCTCAGGGCCAGATAGCTTTAGTACAAAATTCTACCAAACTTTCAAAGAAGGATTAATGCCAACACTCCACAAATTATTCCGTAGGACTAATTCTAGAAGGATTATTGCATAATACCTTCTATGCCCCAGCCAGCAGGGCAGCAATGAGGGCCTGGACCTCAAAGAACCTAGAGTGAAAGGACGGAGACACGAGAAACGGACAGCAAGACAGGTTTTCTGATCCAGCTGCAAATTTTTATTTTTCTCAAGCACGTTATATAGTGGTTAGGGTGGAAAGCTAGGTAGGGCTGGGATTCAGAAGGGAAAGGTCATTACCTGGTAACCGGATCGTAGAATGTTCTCAGTCACAGGTCACTGACGGAGAGCAGGATGTCGGCTAAGGGGCAATGCAAGTGGAGCTAAGCAGGGTGTTGGCCGGGTGGAAAAAAAAGGTTCAGGAGGAGGACTCGCTAAATAACCTAACCACATTCCTGTAAGCCAACATCTACTCATCAGGAAGTTGGGGAGGGGAAGAAGGGTGATTGGGACTGAAGGTAACAAACTTCTAACACAATGGGCTGACAATATTTACAAGAGGGCCTATGTAACAATGATAGCTCCCAGCACTGCTATGAAGGCAGAGTTGCTCTGATACCTAAACCACACACAAAAATCCAACAAAGAGAGAGAATTACAGACCTATTTCTCTCTTGAATATAGATGCAAAAATTCTCAATAAAATACTTATAAGCCAAAAGATCAAAAAGATCATCCACCTCGAACAAGTAGACTTCAGCCCAGGGATGGGGAATGATTCAACATATGTAAACTGATAAATTTAATCCATTATATAAACAGACAAAAGTGATCAGGTCATTTCATACAGAAAAGCCATTTGACAAAATTTAACATTCCTTCATGATAAAAGTCCTGGAGAGATTAGCATACAAAGGACATACCTGAACATAATAAAAGTAGTTTACCTCAAGTCAGTCAATTTAAATGGAGAAAAATTCCAAGAATTTCCACTAAAATCAAGGACAAGTTAAGAATGACCACTCTCTCCATATCTATTCAATATAATAGTACTTAAAGTCTTAGCTAAAGTGGCAAATGGAGGGAATAGAAGAATTATAAATAAAAAAGGAAGACTCTAAAGGCTCTTTATTTGAATTTCACACTGGAATAAAGACTGCATCATCTATAATATTGCTTTTCATATAGAATGGCTGCATGTAGAAGAATGTTATTAGATCCATACTTAACACCTTGCACAAAATTCAGCTCCAAATGGGTCAAAGACCATTTGGATATAAGGCCAGATACACCCAATCCGCTAGAAGGTGGGGGAATAGTCTTGAACTCATTGTCACAGGAAACACACTTTGTAAACAGATCACTGATAGCACATGTAGGAAGGAAACAATTAAGAAACATGATCTCATGAAACTGACAAAGCTTCTGCCTACAGAATGGGATAAGAGTTTTGCCAACTGCACATCCAGTGAAGGAGTCTTATCCACAGTAGTCAAAATCATAAGCCTGATAGTCAAGATTAACCTGAAAGTCACAGAATCAAGTCATCTACTCAACACATCAGGTAAAATTAAAAGTGCCCCCTCCTAGTAGCACCAATTTCTTTGGAAACATGTTTTCTCCTTTGAATTAAAAAACAGACAAAACTACTTGTTCTGAACAAATAAAGTTGATCACTTAAGCCCAGCAGTGGTGATAGACCTCTTTAAATCCAGTAGTTGGGAGGCAGAGGCAGGCAGATCTCTGAGTTCAAAACCAGTCTGGTCTATACAGGGAGTTCCAGGAAAGATGTGGCCACTGTGGAAAAAACAAAAACCCAAACAAACAAAGAAACAAATGGAATGATTACCCCAAACATAGCAATCACTATATTACGACTTTTGCCGGGACATCTATTACTTAACTTTAGTTAATAATTCTAAAAGTTATTAACTAGTCAATATTATCACCTCACATGGCAAGAACACTCCCAAATGGCAAACCCTTCATGTAAGTTACTCTACTGCCTTATTATGCCTGTATGTTGTCATAGGCTTGCTCAGCAGGTCTTACAAGTTTAAGTTGGAAATGATTTCTATTGCTCATTGTTAAGGAAAACTTACTCTAATCATTCTTAATCTTTCATTTTGTGACTGTTTCTTCAAACAGCAGATAACCAGAATTAACCATACCCAGTTATACACATGAGAATGTTGCTTTTTTCTTTTGTGTTTAACAATTTCATAGCACATATTTCTTGATTTGAACATTCTCAGAGTTTATGATGCATATGTCTGCTAATGAAAGATTTTTACACAGTTTTGTATTTTTATTTGTTAAATATAGGAGAGGCAAACCAACTTGGTATAAGTTTTTGTCACTGAGAAGTTTAACTTATTCCCTAAGGTTAGGATGTGGCTCAGTTTCTTTGAAATATATGTTCAATGCATTCAGTAAATGCCTATAGCTGAAAAAAAATGATGTTGTGTTGTAGTGAGTTTACATTGACTTGACTCAGCAGTTTGACACTTTCCTAATAAGAGGCTCCCAGAACCATGAAAGCCTACTTTCTCATCCTTAGCAGCTGGGCTGCTATTGCCTCTCATCAACTCCTGCAGGAATTGTGGGTTTAACTCCCTCATTCTAGACCTTGACCAGTGGGATATTAGTACACTTGACTGTGACAAATGGGATATTAATAAACTTGAAGGGAGCAGTGTCTTGAAAATCAGTGACCTCCTTTGCTGGTATACTTTTACAACATGAAGAAGTGGACACGAAATTGTCATAGACAAAGGGGCAGGTAACAAGCCATCTGCACATGACATACATGTACATGAACCTCAGTTAAGCTCCCAGATGACTGCATATTAATTACAACTGAGAACAGACATAAAGCCCCTCTGAGCATTTTCTAAAGAGTTACTGGAAATATTGAACAAAACATTGTCTACGCAATCAGATTCTAGAATATTTATTATAACAATAAAAATATAGGTAATACAATGAAACAAATTCAATACAAATGCTAGGTAGAATACTTATAATGTTGTAAACATAATATGAAAATAGGGAGATTTTGGAGAAATATAAGTAATTAAGGAGGAAAAGGAATGATCACGTATAATGAACTGGTACCCGAGTGATACTTATCATGTCTGGAGTGACGGAAGCTTAGGAGCATCTTTCAGGTGTTTAGTTTTTGGTGTCTGTCCATTATTTTGTTAAAGAATCAATTATTTAAACCATGTTCTAACAAGTCTTGGAAACACTATTGAAAAGTATTTGAGAGTAGATTAATATAACACTAAAGGAATAAACAAAATATGGTGGTGATTATTGTAGCTTCCAGTGAGGAAATCACAGGCTGGTTTCCAGATAGACAGATCCAGACAGGGCCTTGGACATCATTCTGCAGTTGTTCCTTCTGTAGAACACCATGATATTTAATGGTCCAGCATCCAGAAGTTGTTCCATATTCACTGCTGAATGAAACATAGATATATCATCTTGTTATAAACGCCGGCCCCCCTCCCCTGACACTAGGCTAACCTCACTTCTGGCTATAATGCATTTTGTAAGTATTTTTTCCAACAAGTTAAATATCATCCAACCAAGAAATGCCAGGAACATGAAGGGATTTCCAAGGCTGTGTCCTCTGGCCTGACTCTCATCTCTGCAATGAACAGGGAAATGATGCTACCTTCTTTAAAAGCTGAGCTTTCATGATGCTAACTGCTGATTCGGGGGAAGATTTGCTGGCTTCCATGCAACAGTGAAAACACTTAATGCAATCATTTAATCTTTATGAAATGCTGTATTTTCTGTATTTGAGATGGAATCAGTAAGGCTGACAGACTATTTTGACCCTTAACACAGGTCAGAAGGTGTACCCCAAGGCTTTGTTTTCTACAGTGTTTCTTTGATGTTAAATAGAGTAATTGTTTTTCTCAAAGATTTTGGCTTTTTCAAAAATTATTTCAAAGAGCACTAGTAATCTGGATGTTCTCTGGGACCCCTGGGAAGAGAGAAGATAAATACAACATGTCTCTACTGGGCACAGCACATGGGTTTCACTAGAACGTATCAACCATGTGCAAGTACAAGTATGTACAATTTTATTGGAAAACGTTGTCAAATTACGTGAATATGTAGTGTGTCTCGATGCTGCTCTCGTGTGTGAAACAGCTACTACTGAATGTGTGAATATCCTCTAACCCTGATTTTCCTTCTCAGAATGTATAAGATCTTCTCTCACCTGAGCATTAACCCTGGTGAGGGGCAGCAGGTGCATGCGGCTCTGCATCACCCTTGGGATGGGTCTTTTCACTAGCACAGTTTTTCCCATCATCCTGGGCAGCATTCATCTCACCCAAACCAATGAATGTATCCGAAATCTCCTCGCCATTGTTAGGTATCACTGAGCTTTCACCCAAATGTGTATCAATGTTGTCTTCAAATATCTTTTCAAAATTCTCAATAAAAAACTGTACAAGAGAAATCTGTTAACAACAGAGGACAAAAATGGCATGCTGTCATTTAATGTCGTCATGAATCACATTTGGTATAGAAGACTAAGGTAGGAAATTGTGAAATTCAAATTTCTGATCGAAATTGCTATAAAATATGAGTTGCTTTTCTTTTAAAAAGAACTGTGAAGGTTACAATACTATTCAGGACAGATATTAAAATAAATCAATAAAGTGCATTACATTCATGTTCTGGGTATTTGATATGATGACCAAGCTTCATCACACTAGAACGACACAGCTCCAAGTCTGTCTGTGAGGGTGTGTGTACAGATGATTAAGGATGAGGACTCATCCTGACTGAGGATGCACAACCTCTGCACATGAAATCAGAACGAGCAGCAAGGGAATGAATGAAAAATCCAGGTGAGCACTGCCCCCATTCTCCACTTCCTGACTGCACTGCACTACAGATACTCCATGTCCTGACCCTGTGCTTCACATGTAAGGACTGCATCAGGCCAAACTGTGAGCTAAAGCAAGCTCCCCACTCTCCCGGGTAATTTTGGCATTACAAGGAGAGAGGCAACTAATAAACCTTCATGGAAAGTATGGAGTGAAGAGTAGAGTTTGTCACTGAGATTTCCAAATTAAAGGAAAAGTAAGAGAACTTCAGATTTTACATGAATTATGTGTACTGGGTCTTCTGTATAGGAAGAAGGCATCTGGAGAGAACATGCCTGGTGTTAGCATCATTTTCTCCATGCATTTGTGTTAGGCAGGCTTCCCGTTTAGTTGAGCTTTGTTGATTAATTAGCCATTTTTACTACCAGGATATTTTAGAAGTTTTGCTTGGCTTCTTGTTTGATTACCAAAGGTGAAATATGCCCTAGTTTAGTGTTCAGTATTCCCCAGGAGGCTCATATATTGAATGCTTTGTCCCTGATTAATGTGGAGATATGCTTGAAGAAGCAAGGCCTAGTGGTGGATAATAGCGTAGGTCCCTAGTCTTTCTTTATTCTTTTTCTGATTCTTCACAAGAGTAAGCAATGTGTTGGATCAGGCACTTTATTTAAAATATTCTTCTCATAGGTTGAAAATTAATGGGACCAATAACTGACAAGTTAGAAATTCCAAAGATGGGTCAAGATGAATAATTCACCTCCAGACACAAGAGTTTCATCTATTTTTTTTTTTTTTTTTTTTTGTTGTTGTTGTAGAATGAGAAAGGTGCCTAACTCAGAAATGGTTACTCATCTGCCTCTCTGAATGGAAATAAATGGATAAGGGAACCTTGCATAATACCAGGGCATTGTACCAAACCAAAGCACAAAAATATACATCTCATTACCTGTTTTGAGATTTCTTTTCCTAATTCCAATGTTCTGGAGGTAGGCAGGCACAGAACACTCGGTGCTATACACACAGATAAGTTATAAGATGTCATATAGTTAGTTGATGAATGTCTCTCAATGCTGTGTAAGACCTGGAACAGCTGTCTCAAAAGGACCATGTTTGGTGTTGGCAGTTGCTCTAAAAGACTGAACAGAAACAAGTTCTTTTGAAATGGGAAATTTTACTAATGAAGTTCTAAACATGAGCAAAGGAACAGAAAAAATTTGTGCATCATATATAGTAAATTGAGGTTAAAAGAAAACAGTAACATGTCCTAAAATATTGCTTTGTTTTAGTGAAGGTTCTACATTTTAAGTATAATTCAATATAAATAAATTTAAAACTCTCATGTCAATATGAAACTTACTAAAAAAACTAGTAAATGAAATAATAGAATTTTAAGTAAATCCTTATTTTTAGGTAACAAGCATTTATGTGTGGAGATTAGAGCTCAAATCTTATCTGGTATCTGAGAATTCATTCCAGGAGTTCATAGACTCTTCATAGACTATTTCATAGAATTCAGTCCATATCTGGACATGGACCTCTCTGTTCATTTAAGACTATTGAAACCATGTCACTGGTAGATGGATGTCCTGTGAGACAGTGACTTTCTTCTCTCCATGTCATGTATTGGTATATGTCCCATAACAATGGTACTAGGAGAAAAACGATACATAGTAGTTGTAAGACCTTGGTTTTGTTTTCTGTGACTGTCTCACAATGTAGCCACAGCCATCCTAGATCACTGAATAACTCTTACTCTGGTTCAGCACGTAGTAGGATAATCTTTAAGACAGCCTGTCTCATGCTTAGATTACAGGCTGCGTTACTCTGAGGTGCTTAGACATGAGTTCTTCTTTAAAAAGACGCACATTATGTGTGAACTTAATAAATCTTTGGTGCTGGGCATGATTTTAGTCATATTTATAAGAATAAATTGCGTTTTGTTGTTCCAAATCAAGAAGTGCATCATTACCTCTGGATGGCAGAAATTCTTTCCTTCTCATTGTCTTGATCAGTGACTGCCATCCACTTATCATAGAGGCTAGATGGAAATACTCCTTCAGGGATGTTTCGAAGGAAATCCTTACAAAGATAAAAAAAATACATATTATTCTTATGGAAAATTCATACGGAAAAATTACTGAGAATTGTCAATTGAATTATTCAGTTTAACTCCAACCCTTTCAAAGCTCCCCAGGCTGCACCCCACACAGAACCTTATCTGAGGACTACTGACTAGCACAGTAGAAGAGGGATTCGGATTCACTGTACTGAACCTAGAGACCTAAGAGTGTGGGTGGTGGTGAGGATGAATCTCTTCCCAGGTCAAACTTCCTCTAGGATGTTTGCAAAATCAAGTGCAAAGTGATAAAGGTTGATGTATTAGTTCAAAATGTATTGCTTTCAATAAAATTAACATGTCTATTTTGTTTATCCCTTTTGAATGCAGATTTTACTTCTTAGTCAGAAAGGTTCTAAAGCAAGTGTCTAAATGCTGTCGTGAACTACAACTGAGGACTGGACTCTGTCCTCTGCTACCTGTGTTCTCTAGAAGTAACTGCAGTGCCATGATTCACTCCTTACTGTGTTCAGTTCCTTAGGATTAAAGTAGCAGCTTATTGGCAAAACACCAACAAGACATCATACAAAATAATTTTTAAAAAGGACAATCAAGATTTAGGGTGATCTCAGATTTGGAGCACTAAATATCACATCTGGTACATAGGACATGAGTCACTTTGTAAAGGTGATGATTATATCATAAATTAGCAAATCTACCTCCTAAAACCTGTGAAGTTCAGGCAAGCTTGGCAGTAAATCCAGAATGCAAGAGGCTGAGGGAAGATGAGCTCAACTTAGATCTCTTCAAGGAAAAGATGATTGGGTTTTCTGATTCTTCCAGATATCCTGTTTATACTAGTCCTTCTGCTATCATTAAAATGATTATTGTCTATCTGAAGCAATGCCCTCAGATTAATTATCATGATTGTGTAATTTAATAACATAGTATTAATTGTAAGCTGAATATATGTAAGGATAGAAGAAGGGAGAAAATGAACACAAAGGACTGCATTTACTATTAATATGAATCAAAACCATTGTGGAAGTTAGAGATGTGCTATGATTTTCTCCATGTGTGGCCCCAGCGTGTGGAGGCAGAGAACCCAGTAGTTGAGGTGTCATCTGAGAGTTTTGGAGACATCAGTTATAATTTTGTGTCATGTAAATTAATATAACTCACCTCAGAGCATAGATCTCTTCTATAAATTTTTAGTGCAATGGCTGCAGAGTCCATTGATGAGACAAGAAGTATTTTTTTTTAACTTGACTAAAAAAAATTACACCAAGGGAAATTTCATTGAGCCACTGCTTATAAAGAACTCAGGGGAATTTCAGGGTGCTGATGATGGAGTACTTATTAGTGAGTATGCAAATTCTTTAGCACTGGCCATGCCTGTCATCATTTGCAGGCATGAATAGTTAAATGACTCAAGCAACTTCCCCACCTTTAAAACTGATGACACGACAAAGATGGATTCCTCCCTCAAATTTACTTCTTCTCCCAAATCCAGCTTGTTCTTAAACACTTGGCATTCTTTAATATTGCCTGATTTTCTGAAAATGCCTTCAGCAGCAGGTCCAATTTCCTCCAGGAGAGACAGCATATCCTGTGTGGGAAAAGTAAGTACCTGCCATTATAGACCAACCCTTGCAGAGCAGGAGTGTGTGTGAGTCTTCATGAGCCTCGGAGCAATGGGGTGTGTGGTGGTTTGAGACTGGCCCCCATAGGCTCATATATTTGAATGTTCAGGCACCAGGGAGTGGTGCTATTTGAGAGGATTAGCAGGTGTGGCTTATTGGAAGAAGTGTGCCACTGGGGTTGGGATTGAGGTTTCAAAAAATTATGTCAGGCCATCTCTTCCTGATTCAATCTGGTGATCCTACAGGTGATCCTCTCTCTGAACCACTTTAGCAGCTCATGCTGAGAACTGGAAACACGTCTGAAGCAGATTTCATCTGCAGTTATGGATAGTCTAAAGTCAATCTGTCTCTTGTACTTTCCTGTTTCCTATGAATGCCCTTCCCCAGTGTGTCATCCCATTTCCTACTGGATTCTTCTCTGATTATGACCCTATTCCTACTTCCATTATGTCTCAGGCTCATTATAACAAGGCTTAAATCGGCATTTACAAGGGCCCTTTCCTAATTTTTTTCCTTTGAGTCAGTCTTTCCTCTCCTTCTGCTCTGTCTTCACAGTTTCAACCTTTGGGATTGGATGATGCTGGTGGTGCTGGGAAGCCATGGAAACCACAATCTATCCATCCTGTGATTTACCATGAAAGCATGGGTACCATACACAATGCAACTGGGGCTTTTAGTTATTGATTTGGTATAGCTTGGATGATGATATCATGGCTACTGCCAGGTTTTATAACTTATGTAAGGTTTACTGTACTCTCATTCATGAGTCTGATATGATAGACTGGTTCCTATGCAGTATAAATATCACTAAGGTGAAGGTGTTGGACATTCTGTGTTTCTATTGACAATTTGGTTACTTACTGGAATGACAGGCCAAAATTTCGGTCTTGTTGACATAATTTGTCAGGATGAGAAGATTAATACTTAGCAAATGTTCAGTTTTTATATTCAAGGTCTTGGATTGCAAACCCAAAGATGCCAGATATTTAATTAGAATAATGATCAGACTATAATGAAATGACCATGGAATTATGTCTCATACCAGTGTGGATTTCAGGGAAGAAGCTGAGTGTGAGGCAGAGCTGCTTTGGAGCATCACACCTGTGGGACTGATTAGACTCATACAGAAGGTAAGCGTGTTTCCTTGCTGGACAGGAGAAAGAACTAGAAGGTATTTTCCTGTTGTGTTTTCCATGATTCATCCAAACAACCTTGGGGTATTTTCCCTAAAGAGTGATACATGGTGCCTTCCCCATCTAAGTGATGTTTGTCTATAATGTCCATTTAGAGATAATCTAAGGAGAATGCTTTCCCATCCATAGACTTTCCTACTCAGATGGTCACAGAAGAAAAACACCATGCTCACCAGAATTGAAGTTGGCAGATTGCCATCTTGACAAATAACCCCTAGAGGGTTGTTAAAGAGGCGGCCAGGAATTGGGGCTGGAGTGTCAGTACACACACAGTCATGGCAGGTGGAAGCTCCTCGGCGACATATCCAATGTAAGAGTCTCCTAACTCTTTTCTCTGAATCTGAGGAGAACGGAAGTCATCATTTTAGAAGTTTGATGGTCTCTCAGTAGAGCACCATAAGAAGTGCATAATTGGTCTCACATGTTAAGTAGGTAAACCTGAACAGACAGTTCACTTAGAGGATGCTGAAATTCTACCAAATATTGTCATTTGAATTTTCATATCACTTTTGGGGGGTTTACTCCTTAAATAAACTCAGCTCACTGCACAAGAGGGCAGTGCAACCTGGCTCTGGAACCTAACAGTAAGTTGGCTATTCAAAACTGTAGATAACTATATTTTATTTTGAATTAATACAAAATCTGGGAACCAAGTAAGGACTATGGTAGGGAATTTCAAAACAGGAGATATTGAACACATGGGGAAAAGAGAATAATGTAACACAAAGGTTAAGTAGAGTAGGTACGGTAAGGCAAAATAGAGTTTATAAAATGATAATTAATCTTAAACACGTTTTGAAAATGTGATATGGAAATATATTACTTTATATTACTTCCTAAAATATATACACATATTTATAAAAATGTTTAAATTGAATTACCTTATAATTTGGTGATAATGCTACTAATGGACTCCACAAGCTAACCAAAACTCCAATGCCAGAAATGGGTTAACACTTTGAAATTAATGGACTGAGAGTTCTCACAGAACCCCCAAACATATAGGCCACTGCCAGTGATCTTGCTTACCCTCCAAAATTTGTATTAGACTCTATTGCTGGACTCACAGAAACAGAGAATCCATCTGAAACTTCAAATGATGCTTAATTCTGCTCTACTGTACTATGCACACTATGGGAAGATTAAAGTAGCAGAAGTACCCAGTTGTAACCCTATGAGCTACTGTAACACGTGGCCTGGCAAGATATAGCCAGTGGAACAATAGCACCACAACTGGTATGGGACTTGCCAACATCATTCTGAATAGATTTAAGATCTGATAGACAAGAAGGAACACATACCAGGCACCAGTTTTGGTACATGGGTCAGAGGCTACAGTGGAAATTCTAGTGCTATTATTATGCTAACTGTGAATAGTTTTAAACTGACTCCTAATTGTGTGTTTTTATACATATAGATCAGAGCATCACACAACCTCTGTCCGAGAAGTGTCTTTGCAGTTGATGGTGATCAACACAGATTTCCACAACTGGCCAATGTACTGAGAATAAGTGTCTTTGGAAGGCAGATCCCTAAATATAGTGTCTATATTTTATTTTCTCTTATCAAGTTTCAAGTATCACAAAAAAGAGGGCAGAAAGATTATCAGAGTTGTAATAGTTTTGTTTTGGAGTCAACAAGACCTTTTCTATACACAATACAGCACTTACAGCAGTTTCAAGTATCACAAAAAAAGAGGGCAGAAAGATGATCAGAGTTGTAATAGTTTTGTTTTGGAGTCAACAAGACCTTTTCTATACACAATACAGCACTTACAGCTATGAACTCTGAACAGTTGTTACAATATATCCAAGGCCCTTTCCCATCAAGGAAGAAGGGAGGTAGAAAGTCCCATGCCTAAGTGAGGCATTGTAGGGCTGCTACAATGTTGAGATTCTGTTTTCCTTAAGGGTGTGACCTATAGTAGAGGTGGACCATGCACCAGGGGATGACCCTTACCCAAGGGCACATGGGAAACGCAAATCTGGGACTAAAGAGATGGCTCAGCCATTAAAGGCTAGGCTCACAACCAAAAATATAAGGGAAACACAAATCTGATTTAATGTTGTTATGTTTGAAGGCACTGGTTCTCAATCTTTGGATCATGACCTATTTGGGGTTGATTTCAGATGTTTAAATTATGATTCATAACAGTAGCAAATGTATTGTTATAAAATAGCAACAAAATAAATAATTTTATGATTGGAGGCAGGCACACAACACAAAGAAGTGTATTAAATGGTCACATTAGTCAGGTGGAGAACCACTGTTTTAAGGAGGGGGGAAGAGAACAACAGTCTAGTGTGCTGGTAGATGAGTTGATCTTACAACAGTTGGGAGAATGTGATTCAATATGATAAAACACATGAAACTTTCAAAGAAGTAGTAAAAATCGAGTACTATTTCTACAGTTCATCCAAATCACTGCTCAGCTCAATGCATGGTCACAGAACTCTTTGTAATAATAATGTTACCACAGATCTCATTGTCAACCCTAATAATGTCTGCACTAACATGGATGAATTTAGGGAAATGGGGCAAAACAGAACACTGCTTTTTTCCATTGGGGACAGCCTCTTCTAGACTGTCCATGTCCTGAAGCCAGGCTATCTTTCTACTGTCTTGTACATCCCACCAACATGAAAGGAGAATTCTCTGCATGTTGACAGGTACAGATGTTTGATAACTAGATATGGAAAAGGACATTTTGAATACTTTTTAAGCAACCTTCATCTTTCTTTTTAACCTGAATTTTCATCTCTAACCTACCAATTGTATCTCAATCTTAAACTTTATCTTTTATTAAAAGTATGGCTCTGTCGTTTAATTTTGAATGGGGAAAGTTAGAAACTAACATTCAACTAGTACTTCCTCAAATATACATTCAGTCATCCCCGTTTGATAAGATGGGTTTTAAGTGAGGTGATCAAAGAAATATGTGCTACTGTATCAGGAAACATTGGAGTAATTAAACAATCATAGAAAAAAACTTTATTGACTTCCTACTGTGCAAACTGAGAGATGAAGAATGGAAGTTAGCTTTGCATTCACACAAATGGTCATCAAACAAATATCTTAAGGACAGTATCTGTTCTTGTGAAATATAACCCAAACTAATACTACCTTTTATTAGAAAAAGTAGTATCAGTTGGACATCATTTAAAATGTCCCAGAAAAAGGCAACAGAAGGTTTAAAAAGCCGGGAAAGTGAAAAGTTGAAAGGAAACGACTCACTTCTCTGCTGATGGTCTCTGGGTGGCTCCTTGGGCTTTAAAATGAATTTTCCAGGCACATGAGGGGCCTGCAGCTCCTGGATCATCTTCTGGATGTTGAGATAAGCGGTGTAGTTGCTTGGACCCAGGGTCATAAATGCATCATTTCGAAGTTCACTCATTTTGATAGCATATGGATTCTCATGTCCTATACAGAGAAAATTCTCAATATAGATTGATGTGAACAGTGATGAGTAATCAATCATATCTCTCTGCCTGTGGGTATGTAAACACATTGTGGTAAGCTACAGTTCTCTCCACTCTCATGGAATTAGAAGGGTGTTTGTTGTCCCTAAAGTATCTGGTGTTCTCACTGAGGATACTCTAGTGAAGCAAGTGTCTAAGCACAGGGCTTGAAAAACACAGAGGAAAAAAATCTGAACGTATTGGTTCGTGCGGAATGCAGACAGCATTAGAGCATCATACCATAACAGAGTTTCTGCTATGATTTTCCTTAAACTCTTTATGGTGTTCTACTTTCCTGACTTCCACTGGCGTTTAACACCTAAGGGGAACAACTTGCATCTCCTACATCTTTGTTAATCCTTTTAAACTCTCATCCTTCCCATCTCAATAATTCCTCACACAAGAGGAAATATGTTGGTTTTGTGTTGCCTGGTATTCTTTTCACACCCTAATTTACAACTTTTGGTTTATTCACTTGTGCTTTTCATTTCTCCCTGCACAAAGATGCTGTACTAAAGCTACAGATTTCATCTTTTAGGAATTAAATGAAACTCTCTTCCATCCATTTCTCCTTCATCCCTGTTGTCACAGTGAGCAGTTGCATTTCCTTCCATCTGGCATAGATGCAATGCTACACTTGGGCCAAATACTGCAGCAGCACTCAATGTTTAGGGCACAGGAAGCTGTAGAATGAGCATAGTAACAGCAGCCTGGACTTCAGAATAGTCAGCAGTTGATGCACACTTGAGACCTCAGCAAATTCAGGAAATGTGGCTAAAAACGGCTACTAAGTAATGACCAGGATTCTTAGGATTTCTCAGAAAACCTGTGATGTCTGAAGCTGTTACAAGCTTTTATATCTAGATGAAATCTTAACAAATTAATGCATACTACTTAATATTATTGCAGTCTGTTTGCTTTCTCTCCATGTAATTTTTGATAATTTGACTTACAATTATGTCAAAAATACAAAAACCAAAAATAGCCAGGTGTTTTGGCTAATGCCTGTATTTCCAGAACACAGGATTCTGAGGTAGAGAGTGGAAAAGATTTAAAACCACCCTGAAAAACATAGGAACATCTTGTCCTATATTAAACAATAAAAATGTTATGAAATGAGAGGGTGCAGCCAGCCTTATTTTGTCCTGGGTACTCCCTGAATTCTAACAGGTGCAACAAACATTACATGAGAAAAATCTTATTATCAAGGTTCACTTCATTTAACAAAGTTCTTAATTATATTACAACACATGCATAGATGTGTTTTGGGCATAAAATAGAAGCACATCTATCTATCATCAATCCATCCTTTAATCTGTCTTCATCTATCCATCTATCTATTCAGCCTTTGATCTATCTATCATCTATCACCTCTATATCTATCCATCTATTTATCTAATATCTATCATTTATCAATCATATATGTATCTATCATCTATCTGTCTATATATGTATGCATCTATCATGTATCTACTTTTGTCATTATCAATCATGTATTTAACATTTTAACATTTATCTATCCATCCATACTTCATTTTATCATCTATCAAATTTCTGTTTCTTTCAATTTAGCAATCATATCTACCTATCTATCAATCTATCATGTATCTATCACCAATCTATCAGTCAATCATGTATCTACCTGTATCTATTTGTCAATCCATCAATGTATCATGTACACATGTATAGACCTATGTACCTACCTATGTATAGGTCTCTCTATATTTCTTTTTCTATCTACCTATCTTCATCCACCTATGTATATATTTACATATCTATCTATATATTTATGTATCTATCTATCTATCTATTCACAAGTAACAACAGTTAACAATAACAATAAAAATGAAGACATGAATTTAACATAGAAGGAGGAGTGTTATATGGAAGGCCTGGGGGAGGGGAAGCAAAGGTAGAAATGTTGTAACTATATTATAATTTTAAGATGAGATAAAAACAAGCAGTGAAAATCTAAGAGAAGACAAATGTCTCCAGATGCCCTCACTGCAGTGTCACTGTTCTAGTGTCTTTGTTTCAGTCAACCACAGTGAGGACAATTAATAAACCAAAATGTTTTCATAGCTAGATATTCTGAGAGCTATTTTGTAACATGTATGACTGTCTATCAATTACACCAAGAAATGATTATGCAAAATGAAATAAAATCAAGGGCATGTTTTCCATTCAGAAAATATTTGAAGAGTGTGAACATTATCTCATTTCATGTTTTTGATGAACAAAGACCCTGATATGAACATGTGTACAATGAAGATCCATCATTGACTCAAGACCATGGCTGGAATTTAGCATCTGAGGAGTAAATGTAACAAAAATGATAAATGAACATTAATTTTGAGAAATTAATTTCTTAACAATTTCTTTATTTTACTTCTAGAAGAGTAGAACTTCTCTGAGGGCTTTTTATTGTAATGCAGGAAAGTTCACATTTTTTCTCTTCAAGTAACCAGACCTTGTACATACAGAGATTTATCATACATAGAAATCCTAACTGGTGGGATCAATATGTAAAGTAAGAAAAATAAATAAATAAAAAGACAAAAAAGAAATTCACAACTGGCTAGAGAAGGCATGACCATGCAGTGCCCACCCACCCCAACTGGTACATGCCCAGTGCAACATCACCACCTAAAGCTCAGAAAATTTCCTTGGAGGAGAAGGAAGGCTCAAAGAGAGGAGCATGGTGGGTTGGTGCATGATGGGAAATTGTGTCTTCTTTGTTTGTTTTCTCAAGACAGGAACACACACTGCAACTCCATTGTACCATATTCAGTCAGTAATGTCAGATGTTGCTGATTAAAAAGGAAAAAGGGATTGGGGGCAGAATGCAAAAGTGCCCCCCAATAATAAGGCTTAAAACCAAGCACATTCTCTCAGGGATTCTGGTTTCTTAGACATCATGATGTGCAGTTAAACCTTGATTAGATAGATCTCTTCAGTAACACCTTAATAAAAACGTCAGCTGGGGTAGAGGAAGTGTCTGCTATGGAAAGCCACCAGAATTAGGGCATATGATTACATTCTGCTTTGACACATTTATTCTGAAAACATGCTTGGGAGAAACAAAACTGGCTCATTTGCACAAGCAGACATATTACTCTGTGTATTATGCTTGAGTGCCCAGCAGTGTCAAATGCTTGCTCGTCAGTCAGTGTGGCACCTACATGTAGCAGAACTGGAATGTTTAATGGTGAGATGCATGTGTCACCGAGACACTTGGGCTCTCATTGAACAACCAGAGCGTCAAGAGAAAGGCTTTCCACATGTAATTAATTTATACTAGGTATTTGTCATTGTACCATTATGTGTTTGGCTTATCTGTGTGAAGGAAATTGAATACTAGAATTTAATAATTAAGGATTTATTAGTTAAAACCAAATGCTGTAATGAGCCAGATGCTGCTGCATTAAAACAGCCATTTTCATTAGCATTTTTAAATATGAGGGAATTTAATTTAAATTTTGTAATGTCTTGACTTTGATGAGTGAGCATTTTAAAATCTTTAAAAATCCACCATGTAAAAGGTAGATTTATTTTAATTTCAGCCAAATGAACTCTCATATAGAAATACCAGAACAGTTAAGTGGATCAAGACCTATGACTTGTAAAAATCTGAATTTGTTGCTTTTAATACTATTAATAATCTTAACTGGCCCTGAAAATAAACGATTGCAAAAATATGCAGAATATGTGTAACTAATTTTACTTTTGACTGAAAAAGGTGTGAATCACTCAAACAAAAGAGGCAGTGTGAAGGGAATGAGAAAGGGGGTTTTTGTTATTTTTCTCCTTTTATCACAAGGAGGCATCCTTAATAATAGCTTGAATGGTTTGATGAAGCAGTGGAAGGAAACTCCCAGGAGAGGGAGATGATCGTGGAGAGCCATCTCCTATGAATCATTTACACAACTTCTTGCTGAAGAACAGCTTGCATTTTTAATGGAAGATGATTGCATTTCATAAACAGGTCTTTAAAAATTAAAATAATATTGAGCCTTTCTCATTTAGGCCTATTAAAATAATAACGTGCTCTGTAGACTAGGCTTGCCTCGAACTCACAGATATCTGCCTGCCTCCACTTCCCTAGGGATTAAAAGATGTGCACCACTGACGCCGACTGAGATTGTGTTTTCTATATGAGGGAAGCTGAACCCATGAAATCTCGACAACTTGATTGCCTAAATGGGATTGAAAGAATGAAAACAAGAATTGAGAAGCCAGTGTGTGTGTGTGTGTGTGTGTATGTGTGTGTGTGTGTGTGTATCCCAGGCCTCACACTTAGATGAAGCACCACAGGCATGAATGTTTGCAGAGAGAGGAAGACTCAGTGTTCTTTAGGGATATGCTCCTGAGAGGGTATCCAAACTTAAGTGGATGGGATACACATTTGAGCAATACTAGTTTTAGAGAGGTTTATACGCATACACATATATAGGAAAAATTAAAGAAAAGTCAATATATTTGATGGGGAATGAGGTGGACATGGCAATAGTAGTGTGAGGAGCAGAGAAAAGGGCTGAAAAGGATATAAATCCATTACTCATATAAATGAACCATGCCTCCCAGAAGCTGAAGTTAATTCCTGTTGCTGAAGCTACCTTACTCTTTGGACAAGGGGCTCTGATAATTTGAACTGCATCTGACCTGAAAGTCTTCTCTGTTTACATCAGTGGTTCTCAACCTGTGAGTTGTGACCCCTTTCAGAGGAGTTGTCTAAGACCATCAGAAAACACAGATATTTACATTATTATTCACAAGAGTAGCAAAATTACATTTATGAAGTAGCAATGAGTTTTCTATTTGGTGAACACCACAACATGAGGAACTGTATTAAGGGTTACAACATTAGGAATATTGAAATGAACTGTTTTAGACTTTTTATGGTCTTGGATGTATTCAGTAGTTCACTAAGGCAAAG